GCTTATCCCATCTTGAAATTCAAAGTTGTATGATGTAGCTGAAGCCGGAAACCCCTGGCTATGAGACTGGTTAACAGCAGGTGGTGTCATGGAAACGGCGTTGAAGCGGCAGTCCGTAGATTTGTGTAGTCTCTTCATCATTCGAGACAACAAGAATACGACCGAGTTGACGTCCAAGTCGAAAGAGCTCACAACATTGAATTTGTTGAGGCTTCCGCTGGGTGTACTGCTGCCCAGGAATGGCTGTACCAGGCTGAAGTCGCTGCCAGGACTCGGGCCCTGGCTTTGTCGTGAACATTGAAGACGGCCCCTAAGGGCACCGAGGAGTTCTTCGTAAGAATCCAGGAGAAGAAGATAATTTGTCATAAAAAGTGAGATAACGAGAGTCAGGTTTGGTGGTTGGTGCACTTGTTGTAGTGGCTCTTTCGTAAGCTGTGGTGCTGCTTGTGTGGCGAAGCCGGAAGTGTCGGGTGCTCCGGTCCAGCAGGATGGCGGTGAAGTAGATCGTCGTCCTTCCACACTTGGCCTCAACAGTGGTAAGCTTTCCACGACATCAATGAGAGTTTCTGTCGAGTGCACGGTCGTGTTAATCAGTGTCGTAAGCCCGTCCGCGTCCTGTGCTCTGGTGATGTGCCGCGAGAACAGCAGAGACTGAAGATCCATGAGTCGTTGTGCTGCTGACTCGGATGATCGTAAAGTTGCTTCTGGTGATGAAGGCATAGTATCGCCCGCGAAGGATTCGGCGTGGCTGAACTCGGATGGGTGATCGCATCCTGGAATCCAGCTGTCCTCTGTGTTGGTGGGTAAAGAGCCAATTGTTGTTGGGGGTGTAAGTGGCAGGTCGTGGGGCTGTGCTACAAGACTTTCATCGTGATGAGCCAAGAATCCCAATGTGTCCGTATCCATCCACTCCGTAGACATCAGCTTCGTATCGTTACTTGGTAGGAGTCCGAGTAAAGGGTCCTCGAAGTTGCCAGTCCAAGTACCATCTTCCTCCGGATGGCTCGGTATGATTCCTAACCCATATTGTTGGAAGTCGCTCGCATCGTGGACGTTGGATGGAAGCACTTCGGGCGGGCTTGTGATTGTTTGAACAGTAGTGTTACTCGACATTGTCGAGGATCTTCGGAATGTGGTTGAAGGGGCTGACTGCGCAGCTTCCGGGTTCAAGCGCTTCTTTGCTGGTCTTCCCATCCGCCGTGGAGGGCTATAGAAACAGTCGATCTGGAGTCGTTGACATCTTTCGCACTTGGCCGCTCCAGATTCTCTGGAGCAACGGCTCTTGAGAGCTCGGCAGCGATCGCAGGCACTTCTTTGAGAGAACAACATGGTGGCAAAGCGTTCATGTAGATGCACGACGAGGTCGAAGGGACGAGTTCACTCAGAAGCGCTGGGTGACAACGGCCGAAGTTTATATGACTTCGTTCCCGCGACTTGCGTACTACTCAAAATAAGTCAATTTTGCCAAGACCTTCTCTTAGCCGCGCCAAGTTACCTGCGCCGTTCGACTCATGTCAGGGTTCTGGCGTCTTGCGCGGGGCGCGGGGGACACGTCAGATCTAGATGAGATGTCTCGGTTGAACCTACCCTCCCTTTTTGGGGACTAACCATCATGCGCATTGTCGATTTCTTATTTTAAGGTTTCAGGGAAACTTCCCACGTATGACATTGTCGATTCAGTATTTTGGTACCAGTTTGGCTGTCAAGACTGCGAATTCGACTTGGCAGAGACATTGGCTTTACCGCAACTCTGGAAAAGGTGCCGATCATTCGATAAGTGGGTGGTGTGCAGGTTAACCTGCTGAGTGGGATCGCTTTCCCCTAGCTCGACTTCAAAGTTCTGACGAGTTCCCAGGGCTCTGCAACCTCGGCGAATGCTATGCAAACTCTCTTTGGAATTGGGGTCCACCGCCTCGCAGTGGTGTGTAACAAAGGTGGTGTGGCCCGGTGAGGCGTTCTAATCAGATCAGAAAAAGCTTCCTTTGATTGTCTGGTAATTACCGAACTGTCAACGCTCCTCCCGCCATCATGCCGTCTGGTGTCTTGTTACCTATTTCGCCAAAGGCACGGTGTATCATCAGTCAGGTGTTGTTTGGTGACAGCTTCATGGCTTCCCGTCTTCTAAAAACAACCCAGCGCCAAGGCCAAAGCCCCTCCTGTGGGGTCCCTATTTGGGGATCGACTTGGCCAAGAGATTGATAGTGGTTTGGTATAGGAAGAGGTGAAGACTGCATGTGTGTGCATAGCATACCTAGTCAACAAAAGACAGCAAGTCCAAAACGCCCGACCTATTTGGACGCCTCAACTATTCGTACGGTAGGTAGTCTTGGCAGGTTTGAGCTGCTCGAGTCGGCACCTTTGGCCTGTGTGCCCCGCCAAATTGTTGGCCCTGTCCTGTTGCGAGCAAGTAAAATAGGGTTTCTATTTACCCGACTGTCATATTCCCATTATTTCCAGGGATGGTCACCCATGACTGGGCCCAGCCTTGAGTCCGGCGAGCCGCCGAACGTGCTCGACGGCTGCTAGTGTCCGCGGGCGCGGGCAGCGGGCTTCTCCTGCCGCTTGATCGGCGCTTGTAGCACGTGAATCTTTGTCTGTAGGCTGTGGCTGGAATAAGTGACGTTGAAGCATGGCTGGGGCTCTTGGCGGCGAGAGTAAAATAGATTGCGCAAGAAACAACCAAGTGTTCCCCCCCTTGGCATTAGGAGAGGGAAACGCGCCTGAGGTAACCTTGAGGGGTTCGCGTCTAACTGTATGGATACACGGTCAAGCTCTCCCATCGGGAAACAACCATAATGTTGCGTTGCGTTCAGTGTGTACACACTGACAATGGTAGATTCTGCTTGTGGACTTGTGGAATAGTACTCATTGCGAATTCGGTCTCGGGCATATCGAAAGCGGCAAAAGCCAGCAACAGAAGCTGTGGGACGACAAGATGAACTCGCAGATCGTGCGAACTCTATCATTGGACTCTCTCGTTTTCGCCAGTGAAGTGTGAACTCTTGAAGCACGGTCCAGTGCTTCCAATCTCACGCTGCGGGCGTGCCGTTGCTCCTTGAGTCAAGCCCAGCGATGTTGTGTCCTTGACTGAAGTCGACCAGCGAGACGGCCCGAGCGCATTGGGCAGCCCAATTTACCTTTGCTCCCGCGGAATACCTCTCAGGTTTGTTTCAGCTTGCCTTGCGGTACCATTTCTAACTAACTATGGACTTGGGTGCGACTGATGAGGCCTAGGAACGAGTCGCTAGGGGTCCCTTTTCAAGGGTTACCGCTAATCGGGGGACCTTCCAACGGGGTTACATATGGCCGCACTACACAAGCAAGCCTTGCTATGCTTGAACTTCGCAGCTCTTCAGATCCCCAATGTGTCATGGCTCATGGCAGAATGCTGTGCACTTGCGTATACCAGATGAATTCATTGATTATCTGTATCTTTACGCATTATCGAGATACTGTACGGAGTAGGTACTTGCACTTGAATGCTTCTGAGATAGGACAGAATGACAGACTAGGCTCGCAACAGCCACGTTACTTTGAATACATGCGCGACGTCTCCGGACAACCCGAGGTTCAGAGCTCCGGTAGCGCAAGACGGCGGCACCGTAGACGATCTGCAATTGATCATGTTATATCCTCGCAAGTTGTGGACTAGGCGTAGCTTAGCTTCACCTAAACACTTTGACCACTCACCACGAAATCAGACACTTGATTCACCGCCCTGGTTTTCTTCCATAGCACCTGTTTGCCAAATGTTGACCCTCTATCGCTGTTCATCGCATAATTCGGAAGTATCTGCGAAGCCCGAGTCCTTTTAGTCTCGCAAGCTTCGTCTTTTCGTCTTGAATTGACGCGTCAGTCATAATTCGGGTGGTTCCTTCAGGTGAACTTAGATACATCAGACCGGAGAACGCCGTAAAGTTGTTCCCTATTGCGAAGCTTGTGATCCTCTCAGTCGCCACGGGGTGGACGACTGAAGCCTCATTTTTTCTCCTCAGGACCAGCAACATCCCGTCGGGTCCGAGTGCGAGCGATCCATTAGGGCCAACTCTAAATTCAAGGATTCTTATGATGACCAGGCGGGCCGCTATCGAACCACTTCGCGTCTGTCGGAACGATTATTCAAGCGACGTATTTTTCGTATACTCCGTAGTCATCATTTCGATACTACCAATGTGTATGATCAACTTTCAAGAACTCAAGACTCTTTTTTGAGCAAGGGACTTTTGATAGAGCTTGATAATGGCGCTCAACACTAGCAAGGGCCACCTTAAAAAGTCCAATCTTAGAAATGTCAGTGCCCACGAACCTGAGCCTCGGGCTCTCGGCAGTTATTCACGGGCTCGAGTCAGTCTCTCTCTTCTCGCCTGCTGACTGCTCATTTCTTTTTTGGTCGAATATCTTTCCACCCCATACCCCACGCGAAGCAGAATGATGCTATAGCCAGACCAAAAGATAGGTAAAACTCCTTGTCGATATTCGATACATATGCCAAAAGCACTCCCGGCAGTTCTTTCTCGGGCACGGCTTTACGGAACCCGGTTGCTCCGGCCTCGAGAATTGGTGACGCATCGACATTCGGTGCGAATTTAGGAAGGTCTCGCTTCAGTGCCCCTGTAAAGATGGCGTTACCTACCGCCAGGGCCACAGCTGAACCCATGAACTGAGAAAACGTAACAAATGATATTCCCATTGAAATCTGCTCCGGAGGTAAGTTCGCCTGAATAGCAATGCTTGGCTTAAAGTCGTTCTGTTAGTCGGGCCTGCGGTCAGTAACCACTACGTGTGGCAAGCGGGTCTCACCAGTTGTAGAACAATGCCTCTCCCACCGCCTGTGATGATTTGATAGCCAGCCCACTGGGCCACCGAAGTCGTCGGTGTGAGTGACGTGAACAAGCCACTAGCAATAATTGTTGCCGCTGTGCCTGTAATAGCCCACGGCAAATAATACCCGAACTTACCGACTTGAAGGATGACAAGGACGTTAGCTAAACTCAAATTACTTATGGAACAATTCCATAGGCTTCCGTACCTAGCACGCCTCCGCCGTAGGCAAAAGCTAGCTGTGACAAGATGCTTGGCAAAACGTTGATCCCGCTCTGGACCGGCGTGACGCCTTGGACGGCCTGGAAGTAGAGCGGGAGCAGGTAGATCTGGATCATCGCCGAGCCAACAAATGTGAAGTTTGTAGCGGCAGCGGACCAGACGGGCCTCTTGCCGGCCATTGATGATGGGATCAGCCCGTCATCTCCTTTTCGATAGTTCCAGGCCAAGAACGTTGCGAGAGCCACAGCAGAGCCGCAGAACAGTCCTATTATCGTGGGGCTGTTAAAAGCATATTCGTTCCCACCAAGCTCAAGGGCCGTAAGAAACAAGACCGCAGCGCCGGCACATAGCAAAAAGCCGGTAAAATCTAGGTGCGTGTGCAATTTCGCAATGGCCGCCATAGGACTCGGTTTCGGCACCTGATCTGGAATCTCGCACCATGCCAGAAACAGAAGGACGACGCCGCCAATCGGGAGGTTGATGTAGAATGCTGTTTGAGTTTAGCTACCTTACTAGGAGTCGTCTCAACTCGGATGAACTCCATATCTTACTCCAACGCCAATTGGCATAGTCGGTAAGTACTCCGCCAAGAACAGCTATGTGTTAACGTTAGTATTTTTGGCGAGACTTTCTCCTTTCCCGGGTGGGTTTCTGCACGTACGACCGCAAACGCTGCCAGAGTTTGCAACTTTAGTTTGACGTTGGCTACTGCTATGATGGTCAATAGCCTATACGTACGTCCGATGACCAGTCCCATAAGAGCTATTAGACAACTTGAATTAGCCAAGCATTTGTCAGACAAAACTCGCAAGGATTAATCATACCAGGTCTCTTCTCTAGAGGCACTGATCCGGCGATGATCGTCAGGCCGCCACTCATTATGCCCGCACTCCCCATCCCCGCGATGATTCTGCCCACGATCAATATCAGGGACGAAGGCGCAGCCCCGCATATTAGAGATCCAATCTCGAACAAGACTAGGAAGACGAAAAAAGACCACTGCATGAATAAGTTCGGATTTGGAGACATGTTCGCTGACAGCCGGAAAAGCCATACCTTTGAGCTGAAGTAGCGGTAGACTTTACCAGTGAGTGGCTGAAAAGCAGCATTAGAAACGTGATAGGCACTGCCATACCAACCGATATCTTGCAGCGAATGGAACTCGTTAGTTATCGCAGGAATGGCCTACAATGCTATTAGCAAATGAAATGCTTCACTTGTTTTCAGGATGCTCTGACGGTAACAATGATAGAGCTGTCAAGGAACATCAACCAGGCAACAACAATCACACATGTAATGACAATCCAAAGCTTGGCCCCTGATAAGTACTTTGGTGCCGGTGTCGCTGGTATATCATTTTCCGGACCTTTGTCCTTCTCTTGGTCGTCCTCCGTGATTGAGCTGGCCTCCTTTTCTGTAATCGTTGTTCCTGGACCATGTTTCTCGTCCTCGGCGACAGTCGGGAACATTTCTGTGGACATGAGACTGAGATCTATTGATAGCAGCTGTTTCTCTGTCATTGTCACAATGCTCCTTCTTCTTCTTGTGGATATGGGGGCAGACTCGGGCTTTGTTTTCCGATCCATCTTGTGGCTATTCGAGGATGATTATTGGCAGGAATAGGGGGCTTCAGTCGATTGGAATCTTTGGATCCCCTCTAAAATTGGGACTCGGACTTGGCAAAGAAAGCTTTTCATAATTTGCATCGCCCGGAATGGGACGCAACAACCGTAATATCCGACGGGATTGATTACCAGTTCCGAAAAGCCCCAGTCAAGAAGCTTCCTTTGCGCCTACAGGCTTACCAGTCGTGGTAAACACGGGGAATCCCCGACCGAATAAAGTTCAATTCATGGAAAAGATCCCTCAAAAGGAATCACATAAGGCTTTCGAGTGCGCTGTAGGGGCACTTTTTTCGTTGCAGACAAGTCAAGCGTAGACATACACGACTCATGAGACGCATGGATGATGCTGCTTGACATTTTCATCTGTGTTTAGGAGAAAGCTTATTGTCTTTAGCCAGCGAATCAGTCGTTGCCGCGGAACACGCATGCTTAGAATTGGCCCAGGCTCAACAACAAGCTTCATTCTACTCCCTTCTCTTCTATTAGTGCTGCAACCTTGAGTCGGCCGAGCAAACCCCCACAAGCCGGAGGTTCTTTTGGGGCATTACGATGGGTCACGGGTCCGGAGGAACCTCAGCGACGGAGTAGCCCGGTGGCCGGGCAGCTCGCGACTAACGGGTCCCCGGGAGATGACTAACACTTTAGATGAGTCCTGGGACCCAAGCTGTCTATGACGAGGATAAAGAGAAACATTCATTCCAGACGGGAGTTTCTAGCCAATCAATTCGACCGCTTGTTAGCAAGCATCGTTGCGTTGCTGAAAGCGTTGAACTGCACTCAACAGCAGAGCTGTTCACACGATAGCCAGAATGAAAACATAAGGTCGCTAACCGGCTTTCGAAAATACACGAGAACAAGTACCATCGAACTGCCGAACATGGATTGATACAACTGTTCGATATTAGCCAAGACCTCCAAGCTTTCAACACCGCCATGTACCTGAAACCACAGCAGGCTCTGTAGCCTTTGCTAATGTACCATCAGGTTCGAAGTACGTTCGTGAGCTACTATGGCCTCTTGTTCGCCGAAAGGATCAGTTAGGGTGGAACCAATTGAGTTGAGGGCTTTAATTCATTGGGTATAGTCATCAACGAAGTTTCCCCCTCTTGATTGCAGGGTGTGCGAGTTCGCAACGTCGCGTATGGGTCTTGTCCTTAAAATAGCTGCACCAGGCGCACAGCCAACCGCGCTCTCAGACAGCACGCGACCCTTTGCCAAATCGGTACAACCAACCAACACAGAAACTAGCCCCCAGTTGACATGTTTGAGATGTATTAGATCTTGGCAGCATACGATTAAGCATGAATCTTTACCCTGGAGCGTTCCCGACGTAGGATGATCACGGCCGATCACCAGGAGCGATCTAGGCTTCATGCAGCCACACCTTCAACGTGATCCACTGATGAACACCTTGATAGTTTGTTCCTCTGATCTCTGCTAGGTCAGCATCAGTATACCATCGCTGTCTTCCCATATTTAGAATATCTGGAAATGGTTTCAATGGCTACTTTTATACAGTAACAATAGCCGGAATAAAGGGGGCCTCGAACCACAACCAAGCTGAGGAGTAATCACCGCGGAATTGATGAACGGCAAACCGTGGGATGATATTCTGGGAAACGGTGCCACTTCTCCCCGCAGCCCACTGTTCGGGAAACCAAATTTAGAATCGGACGTCTCTACCTTATCTACCTCTAAGACGGGATGACAAGCTCCCCCGTCATCAAGTAATCAATCGAGACGTTCTTGTGCTTGACGAACTCCCCCTCCACCTTTGGCACGTACCCCGGAAAGCTATCCACAATTTGACTCAGCGTTCCCCATGAAGCCTGCCCATTAATGTCATACGTCTGAGAGCTGTTGAAGCCGCTAGTGTTGAGGTTGTAGTACAGCATTGGGAACTCCTCGAAGCTGGCGTTGGCATTGACATGAGCAACGCGGGACCCGAACGGGTCTATCACGAAAGTCGCGCCGATAGCTGCGACAAAGGAGTAGGCACCGCTGAGAACGGAGTAGACGCTCAGCGTACCGGTGTTGACCCATTCGTTCTCCCACCAAAGCGAAGTCTCGTCTCCGACGCCAGCCAGATAGGGGAAAGGAGCGAAGTGGACGTGCTCTCGCTGGACGTACATGTTGAACGTCATGCTGGGATACATGTGCCTAGATTGAAAGTGGAATGGTCAGCTCCGGCACTTATCGAAGCAAAGTACAATCAGTCAGGTCAGGTAGGCTCTGCAGGCGTACTCTCCGCACTCCAGCATCCCCCATCGGCCGTAGTCAGTCTCCAGGACTTTGAGATCCTCGGCCACTCCGTCACTAAAGAAGTATCGCTCTGCGCCTGACGGCCTAAGCTTCCGACGGTGGTGCATGATCTTCCCTTGAGGGTCAATCAATGCCTGAGACATGTACATGTAGTCGCCGTCAACTTCTGCAAAGTTGAGGTTGGCGTAGATGCCCACGGCCTGGATCGCAGCGATCAAGCGGTTCCACTGCGCATCGCCAAGCACGATGGCATTCTCAATGTACGACGGAAGGTAGTCACGTGTGAAGTTGTAGTGGCTATCCGAACCCTTGGGGAATCTGTTCGACATGGTTAAGATATTTGCATTCCATGGTCAAATGGTAGAGTCTCGGGCTGGGGTAGGGCTTACCCAGGGAACCAAAGCTCGGGAAAGACGACAACATCGGAACCGCTAGCCTTAGCCTCTTTGATCAACTCGATTCCAGCATCGACACACTCGCTGATGTTGAAAGTGATGCCGGTGTAGTCATAGTTTGTGAGAGGCAGCGGCCAATTCGGCGGAGGCGTACGGATCAACGCAATCATCAAGTTTGATCGGTCCACGGCGCTGCTATTCCAAGTCGGGGCAGCAATCGCCGAGCCAAGAGCCGAAAGTGCCAAAATACAGCGGGAGAACTTCATTGTGATGAGTCTATTCCAAAATCAAATTCGACCGGTCTGGTTGCCAATGGTGCAGTTTGGTTGAACAGAAAGATGCGGCGTAGTCCATCATTCTCGTCAACTTATATGGCAACTCAACCTGCCTTCCAGTCGGGCTGTCTTGCATCATCATGGCCTTATTGATGTCTTCATACGTAATACAATCAATCGGATTTGATTAATGATATTCACGATAAGCAGGTTGATGGCCCTGAGAGTGCGACCGTTATCCCACTATCCCACATCAACCGCTCGGTGAATGGCAGCAAGATAGCCCGGAGATGGGCCCCATTGGGCCCGTCGCCAAGTTTACAGCGATGAGAGATTGTGGCTCAATGGTCAAGAAATCCCTATCATGACCATTTTAATCATGATAATCTATGATAAGGCCGTAAACATCTACCGACCGTAGTGCCGATGGCTCACGGGGGCCCGATGCGTGGATCTCGGGGTTTGCTCCGGCGTCACTGCCCGGAAGAGACCCACACGCGTTTTGTTTTCGGTGATTGAGAAAAGTCGGACCGGATAACAAGTGACCTTCACCAGTACGGGCCAGGCTCTTGTGGCTCCGAATGTCGCTGATAAAGATGCTGTATAATTTTGTCGGCTCGGCAGGTAATGCAACGGCCATCTGTGCAGCCGGCTCGTGTGGGACTGCAAAGATCAGCCCAAATCAATAGTCGGTGTAAGTCGCATACGTCTTCGGCCTTTGAATCAATCAGGATGGCGGTCAGGATATGAATTAGGACTTACATAATTCGAAGGTGGACTTATCTGCTCTATTGTATCGGAACCTTTTTGGAGCCGTGCCAGTGTTGCTGCCTTGAAATTGTAGCAAACCAGGATTTAAACGATCATCGATGACATGGGAGTGATACTTTGAGGCCTGCTTTGAAAGCCCCGGTAGTCATCTTTTCTGTTAGCTATAATTCAAGCGAAAGTTTGAGCGGAAGCCACTACAGAAGTTGAGTAGCCGTGTAGAAAGAAGACTACTGCATAGATTAAGAGAAATATTCAGATGAGCACAGCATGAGCGTCAATGAGACTGTCGATTACACCTACTACTATTCCCTCTCAGGTGTTTCTCTACCCGCTTTTGAATTGAGAAACCTATTCTTATCATCATCGTTTGATTAGCATGGAGAAAACAACAGGCTTCAGTAAATGCATGCAGTCATATCTCTCATCCGCCCAGTACATCACGTACCAGGCCGTTACCAAAGGTGGCCCGAAATACTATACCTGACTGGCGAAGCGTCGCCAAATATCGAAGACAGCGTTGCGACCAGTCTGAGCGATAGGATTCAGGCGGTTTGATGCGATCCCGTGCGTGACAATACTTCTCTGCCTCTCGCAACCTGACAGAAATCGTTGGTCAATCATCATGAACCCCTGTGTATTATTATGAAGTTGAAAAACATACACCGATGTTTCTCCACCACCCCTTGTATCTGATTACAAAGTAGTCAACTGCTACGATTGAAAATTGTACCGTCCATAGTGGTACATATTCAACGGAAAAGAAGTTGACACGTCTGGGAGCACTTTTAAGAGCGTAAGGGAAACTTTACTCACACGCCGTACCGTTCGACCGGGAGATGTGGGCCGTTATGCAGGGACTGGGTTGACTCGTTCTTAATTGCTTCCTCGAGGTGACTTCAATGTTATTTTATGGGTTGTTACAAGGCATGCATCGCCAATGCTCATGATCATATGTCTATTTCGACTTCCAGATGAACATTTGAGTCAACCTGGGATATACTTCACTCTCTGTCTTCATAGTTTCTCTTAACAACTGGCTATGCATCAAGCTTGCGCCTTTGCTGTAGTAGAATCTACTTCAACAGGCTTTCGAGTTGTTTGCAGATCGCATTGCCAACCTCAACTGTTGTCGCACTCCCACCCAGATCCCTAAAGAAACCAGTCAGACGTGCGCCAAACATTAAGCAGCAAGTGAAACTTACGGGGTCCGTATCTCATGGCCGCCAATGTTCTTGGAGTCTAAGACCTTCTCGACTGCTTTATCAATGGCCTTTGCCTCATCAACCATCCCAAAGGAGTACTTCAGCATCATTGCCGCTGCTAGTATAGTCGCGACTGGGTTGGCGATACCTGTACATAAACTAATTTAATCTTTGACCGCTTGACCTCTTAGGTGTGACTGGGACAAGTCTCTGTTACCTTTGCCCGCGATATCGGGTGCGCTCCCGTGGATGGGCTCGTAAAGACCGATCCCTCCCGAGCCAGGGGTAGTGCTTGAGATCGATGCTGATGGGAGCAGACCCAGCGATCCTGGGACTACGCTGCTCACATCCGACAAGATATCGCCGAACCTGGACATCATTTCATGACTCCGTGAGCTTTATTGAACCGGAACTTTTGTTTGGGCGGCAATACTCACGTGTTATCCATGAGGACCACTCCATTGAACGAGCGAGGATCTTTGACCATAAGCATGGCTGCGCTATCGGCAAGCTGGTGAGAAAGCTTGATCTGCGGATACTCCCTCGCGAAAAAGTCCGTCACGGCTCGACGCCAAAGCCGACTGACAGCAAGAACGTTGGCCTTGTCGCACGAAATGACTTGCTGAGGCGGGTCTGTCTCTATAGCCAAGTCGGCGGCGACCTTTGCAACCCGTTCAACTTCTGCTCGGGAGTACGCCCAAGCGTCCGATGCAAAGTCCTCCTCTTCAGTCTTGTCTCCGAAGTAAGCACCTCCACAATTTTCTCGCACAAGAATAAAGTCGGTTCCCTCTGTGAGCTCGGGTCGGATAGGACCTCGATCAACAAGGGACTTGCTCGCGAACTTGCAAGGACGAAGGTTCGCAAAGGCATTGAGTCCGTGGCGTAAGGCTAGGACGCCCTGCTCTGGTCGCACTTTGCCAGCGCCCCTGAGTACATGGTTTCTCAGCCATTGTCACTGATGAGAAGTAGATTTAATGACCTGACTTACCACTTAGGCCCACCGACTGACCCGAACAAGACCGCATCGCTTGCCTTGGCCACGTCCAGAACTTCTTGAGTCAAAGCGACGCCGTGCTTGTCAATACTGCAACCTCCCATCAATTCTGAGCGGACCTCAAATTTCACGCCAGAGGCTTTTTGGATCACCTCAAGCACCTTAATAGCCTCGGCGATAATCTCGGGGCCAACACCATCGCCTGGCAGAACAAGGATCTTGTGAGAAGTCATGGTGTTGAATTTTACGAAGAGTTCGCTTGAAACTGATACGGTGAGTTATTTGTCAGAGACTTAGTCAAAGACAAACTTCGCCGTGATGTTTCTGCTTGAAAGTCGGCCGACGGAGATGAAGCCTTGGGGTAGACGGAGGTGGGTGGCTGTTGTTCTCCGCGTAAGCACCGGTCTCGGGGCAAGATATCCGGGGATGACGTACCCCGATGCGGAGGCGCTAAAGTTACCGCAAATAGCCGACTTGTTCCCGTTGGAAAAGATTCAGTGAGTTACTTTTGTTGATCGCGGAATTGTGTCCGTAGCACGGAAACCTGTTCCCTAAATTCTCGGTTCATTGAAGCTTCGTTTATGGCGAAAACCTAATTTTATGTAAGGTTGTGTGATCAAGCCAATGTCAATGCAGCCTTCTGTAAATTCCAGAACTATGCCACAACTCTAATTCATAAAGACATGACGAAAACGAAAGCCACATATGTAGATGCTTGCGGGATCACCAAATCTTCGCGTACTCTAGATTTCGGAGCGATAAAACTACCAAAATAATTGGAGTGATAGCGGCCAAATGCAACGAGAGTATAATTTGAGCAGCAATGACACTAGCTGTTCTTCTTGACATGCTTACTTTACTCAAGTCTCGAATGGGTGCATAGATCCATCCTGGGTGCATGTACGTCCGTGGGTATGTCTGAAGCGTACTTCGAAGTTCGGACTCGGGTTCGGGGCCGGACTAAGTTCTATCATGGCACAGGCATATTCAAGTGCCACTTGAGGGAGTGGAACGTCTCGAACAATCTTGGTCATTCAAACGCTTACCTTGGGACTGTATCCGTTGAGATAGCATTTTGATCAGTAGTGGAATCGATGAAGTGTCCGTGATTGTTACGTTTAGACCAGTGGGCAGAGAGTTTGGTGGATTGACGTGAATTTTGGGAACTGTCTTTGCCATCTAAAAGCTTCTCCTTCTTCACGGGTATATTACTTGAAGTATCTACTCAACGTGGTGCCCATTTTCAAACCAAAAGCATTGAGTGACTTAGCCCAACTTCAGAGTCACAAGATTGACCACCGAGGAGCTCAAGCCTACGATGTCTTCCATCGACTCTGGCCTGCAATACTGCGTTGTCGTTGCTAGTCTAACGATTACACTACTTTATTTCTTGCACCGCACTCTTCTACCCAAACCGATCCCAGGAATCCCACACAACAAACATGCGGCCACGACCATCATGGGAGACATCGACTCCTTCCTCGAAAGCCAGAAACAAGGCATCTCAATGTTCCGATGGGTCGCAGCCCAAACGGAGAACCTCAAATCGCCAATCATCCAACTCTTCATGCGCCCCCTTTCTCCCCCTACAGTTATCGTCACAGATTTCCGCGAAGCAGAGGACATATCCATGAGACGATACAAGGAATTCGACCGAACCGACTTCTTGCGGTACATCTCTCAGCCACTGATGCCCCAGTTCCACATGATGATGAAGAGCGATGATCCCATGTTCAAGAGGCAACGGAAATGGCTGCAAGACCTGATGACGCCTGCCTTTCTCAACGGTGTAGTGGCTAAGCCCATCTATGACAGCGTTCGGCAGGTGGTTGAGCTTTGGAATCACAAGGCTCGCCTTGCCGATGGCCACCCATTCGAGGCCTTCGACGACATCTATTTCGGGGCGTTTGACGCTGTCCTTGCCTTCTCTTATAGCAGCAACTTCCAGCACATGACGCTGCCGGGTCGACTGCAGCTGATTTCGACCCTCGAACACGTGGAACATCCAGCCAAGGCTGACTCGCCGGTGGTCTTTCCGGAGAGTAAACAAAGCAGCATCATCAGGGCGATGCTGGGACTAGCCGAGGCGGTCGAGGAAACAAGAAAGGCAGTCCTCCCATGGCTTCGGTCCTGGTACATCCAACACACCCCCCGCATCAAGGCCGCCAAGAAGATTAGAGATGAGACTATCAACCACGAACTCGATACTGCCGTAAAGAGACTCGAGGCCGGTGAGCCTGCGTCCTCGGCGCTGGAGTATATGGTCTACAGGGAGAAACGAGTAGCCGAGAAGGAAGGCAGAGCCCCGGTCTACAAGTCGGTCGGTATGAAAGGCGAGGTAAGTCACCGCATCGACACACGATCTATGCAGAAGTTCAACCATTCTAACGACGAGATCCAGGCGCTTGGCTTCTTGTTAGCCGGGCACGAGACGACGGCCACAACTTTTGGCTGGGGCATCAAATACCTCACAGACAACCCAGACGCACAAGTACGACTCCGCAAAGCCCTCCGCCAGCACTTGCCCGACGCGGTAGGAGAGAAACGGAACCCGACACACGAAGAAATCATAAAGACTACCATCCCATACCTCGACGCCACCATTGAAGAAATCCTTCGCTTTGCTGGGACGACCTCGGTTACGGACCGCGAAGCGATGCAGGATACAACGATCCTCGGCCACCACATCCCCAAGGGCACAAATGTGATGATGGTGACCATTGGCAAGAGTATCCTCAAGCCGGCCTTTGATATCCCCGACGCCTTGCGGTCCAAGACGGCGCTCGACGCGTCGAGCCGGGTTCGAAGCTGGGAAACATCGCCATATCCTGTGGAGGACTTCAAGCCGGAGCGTTGGCTTGTCAAGTCAGGCGAGAGTCCGGAGAAGATGGTGTATGATGCCACGGCTGGGCCTCAGATGGCTTTTGGCCTCGGCCCTAGGGCATGCTTCGGACGAAGGCTGGCGTATCTGGAGCTCCGCCTGTTTACCGCGATGCTGATCTGGAACTTTGACTTTTTGCGGTGTCCTTCTGAGTTGTCTGACTATAGAGGCTTCGACGGACTGACGGTGAGGCCTCGGCAATGCTATGTCAAGCTAGCGAAAATTAAACTATGAGGTCTTCATAAAGGTTATTTTGAGATAGCATGGGCTTGGCACGATAAAGATGTTTTACCTGCACACCTTACGCCGCACATATGCAAGGAAGGTGATCTTAGCTTATCGACTGCGCTGAACATTGACTACCTAGATAGAGACAAGCATTGCGACGCGTCTACAAAGGTAGAAGAACTAGACTGAAAGACATCACACAATATAAGGAACGGCAAAGAGACTTGACGAGAACGAATTGCCTATCTAGTATGCTCTGCTCTGCAGGATTCTCGCCACAATATGCAACATTCTGTAAGCAACCTGTTTTCCAAGGCCACCGCGGCCTGTATGCTGAACTCCAGAAACACCATGCCCAATGCACCTATAGCCGCCCGATGCGCCATGCTAGGTAGGATATCACTCGCTTCAGCCTTCAAATGGCTAGTCCAACAAGGCCGTCGTAAGCGCGCTCGACGGTCCGGCCACCCATTCCAGGGATGGTCTTCAACTGCGCCAAAGTCTCAATCTCGGCGCCTTCCTCATCTGCCATGGTTTCAAGGTAATCGACAAGGTCCTGGGCCTTCTTCGAGCCGAATCCGTGCAAGCCCTTGATCTGGGCAAGGTCTCGCGAGTTGACGATGCTCAACAAGTTCTGGGTTCGGGGAGAGGCTGGTCCGGTCGGGTCGGGGAGGACCATTTTGGGAGGCTTGGCGGGCTTTGCCTTTCGGCTCTTCATCTTCGCAGCAACATCCACAAAACTCATGTCTTCGTCCCCTCTGTCTTGTTGGTATTCTTCGTCACTGTCGTCGGCAGCGATTCTTCTACGCTTCTTCTCGTGTCCGTTCCGAGGAGAGGATGACACTGGTAGCGACTCGGTGGGGAGCATGTTTCCAAGCTTGACCCTTAGCTTCTCAATCTTGCCCAACAGCTTGGCCTGGCCTGGGAAGAAAGGAAGGGCCTCCTCGTACATCTGAAGCGCCACAACATCGTTGCCAGTCTCCTTGGCCTGTCTAGCAGCAAGCAAGAAGCGCAGTCCCTCTGAGCGGCCATCGTCGCGTTCCCGCTCCTCATTCGCAATCCGGCGCTCCAGTGCTTCCAATCTGCGCCGCACAGCATCGTTGATGTCAGGGTGAGCAGGGGCAGGTGCAGGCTCTGCCGTCTTGTTCTCCCTAGATGCGAGGATCTCGCTAACCTTTTTCTCCACGATGGCCTCCAATTGCTCCGCGGAGATGGAAAGCTTTTGTTCGGCTGGTTGAGCCGGCTGGGTTGGCTGAGCTATCAGTGAGGACTGCGAAGGACGTGCAAGCTTGCTAGCCTTGGACGGCAATTCGCGTTCGACCAGGGGCTTTCGGGTCTGTGTCATGTTGGCGGTCGGCCGAACGGGGGCGGCAGACTTGCTACGGTCGGTGTACACGTTGAAAAGCTTCACCGGTCGGGTCGGGTCGGCAGCCTTCTCAGTTGCCTTGGCTGCAATAGTACCACTGTGAATGTTGTGGGCATTGGCCAACGGGCGGAGGGGTTGTCGTAGGGTGGATGTAGAACTGCCCGAGTTCGTACGCGGAACTTGCTTGAAAACGACCTCGTTCTCGATTTCGCGGACCTCGATGCGCTTGGCTCTCGAGCTCACATTTAAGCTGCTCAAAGTGTCAAGATGGTAGCTGCGAATGGGGGCCAGGTTGAGGATCATGACGGTGATGCCGTTGTTCTGGCCTAAGCTGAGGATGCGCGTCATCTTTGACTCGCGGTAGGGAATTCGTTTATCCCCACGGGAGATGGCGTCGATGCACTGCGACAGAACGAACAGACTCTTGTTGATGGCAGCAGACTCTACCAACCTCTCCTTTCCGTTGTCGGTACGGCGGTTGTCTTCCGAGCCAGCCAAGTCAATGGCTGAGGCTACGCTTTCGCGGACCTGGTCTCCCGTTGTTTGTGTCACCTTGATTCTCATAATGGCGTGGCTTCGACTGCTGTGCGCGTTGAGTTTCGTGGATGCCGTGACGCGGTTGTTATTCGCCTCGATGTAGAGTCGTGAAAAGTCCTGAAGGTCCTCACACGCGCGTTCGGACAGACCCACTACCATCGTCTTGCCATCTTTCTCGCGGAGGGGTAGGCCAGAAGGCTGGCGTTTCTCGGGGGGTTCGAATAGGTCAAAGACCTTGTCGTTGTAGATCTCGTAGTATGACAAGACCACGTCGACAGTCGTCTGGCCGCCGGTGTCCTTGGCGATCTTCTTACCGCGCCGATACACACCGCTCAGCAGTCTCGGGATTACACCGCGATCTGCCAGCTTCAGTCCACCTCTCATGGTGTGCGTCTTGCCTGTTCCCGTGACTCCATAGGCGAATATAGTGACATCGAGACCCTGGAAGAGTGCCTTGATGTGTGGTGCGACTGCTCAAGTTAGTTTGACCGATGTCTCTCGATGTTGGTGTCTCGCGTAAGGTATTCATTCGTACCCTCTGATGTGAAGAGTGCGTCTTGTGTCGTCGATTGGTCGTAGACGCTGGTGAAGGCGAAGGAGAACTCCTCGCTTTCGTTCTTCGGACTCGGAATCTTGACCAGCGTGGCTGGCTTACCCGGCTCAGTGCTATCTGCGCGGACAATGACGTCTTTATCCAGCTCCTTTTCGAGGAGGGGACGGATACGCGCGACCACACGAACCGACATGGTGAGGCCAGACCGACTTTCGACTCGATGGATAGGGTGGCAGCAGCCCAAGCCAGCAAGAATGAGAGGATGTCGGTGTCGATACTCGGAAGAATGGTGTCGGGGTTCGAGGTCGACGCGACGTGTCGAAATTGGTTCGACGAGAAGACTTTTGTGGTGTTTGAACCGTGTTCGTGACTTATTCAATGTTGTGCAAGGAATATGGAAGGTTTGCACTGAGGCCTTGTCAACAGGGGTCCTGACATGGGCCGTTGCTGGGGAGACGGCGCTAATCTCCTCTAAGCGAATGAAACGAATCTCCAGGCCCACTATAATCTTCGAGCTTTGACATTGGAAGGAACGGTCAAGTACGTACTCCCCAGCTCACGTGCCGGTACGTACCTGATCTTTTCCTAGCTTGTGTACGTACTTCTCGGCACGGGGCGGCATTGACCCGGGATGAAGCTCCGGGATTTTGCCGTCAGCACAAAGGTCGGCGGCCCTCCAATTCCCTGATGGAGCACCGCAGAGGGCGACAGCTGCTGGAGCTTCCAAGTCACGATATAGACGACCGACGTCATCAGCCTCCCAGATGCCCGCCATGCGCGCCCAATTGCCCTTGCTGAGGACGGCGCGAGGTGTGCGACCTGGTCAATCGCCTTCAAACGTCTGCAGGCAATGCAGGGGCATCCAGATCAGCGCTGCGCCGACGACTGAAGCCCCAAAGGTTGGCGGGGATGTCTTTGGAGCTCGAGGAGCGTCGCGGGACGCCGCCGGTATGCTCACTGGTTCAATGGCATGAAACTCGATACTAAGAGAATGCTGACTTGATGACAACAGATGCCCGCTTCGAGGTCCTCGGTTCCCCGTACTCCCTCCTTTCCGTCTCGCTGTCGCCGTCGCAGCAGCTCTACACCAGAAGGGGAACATTGGTAGGAGTCGCAGGCAAGGCTGAAAATGTGAGCATGAACTCACACTCTGCTCCTCCGGCCAGTATCTAATCACAAAAACACAGGCCCAATCGACACTTTCCATTCTTTCGCCCTTTACACGAGCCTTCCTCGGCGTTCCTTTCCTATACCAACGCATTTCATCTTCAACGCCTCTCACGGCTCTGATTTCTACAAAGTCTCCCACGACGACCTTTTCCGTCCTTCACCTCGATGGTACCACCGACTACATGGTCTCCCAGCGTAATGCGCTTCTTGCCTGGACAGGTCACACACTCTCCGTATCGCCGCGTATAAGCCGTGGCCTTTCGCTTGCCCACTGGGGAAGCACTCACCTCACCGGCCGTGGTCTGGCCGCTCTATCCTCTCCCGGTCAGGTATACGAAGTTACTCTCGCAGAAGGCGAAGAGTTTGTCGCTCACCCCTCGCACGTTGTTGCATACGCTGTTTCTCGCAACCCTCCTCTGCCGATGCGCCTCAAATCGAACATTCTCCGCCTTCAGATTCCCAGCATCACTCGCTTCTTCCCCGAGACAAGCTTCATGAAGGCGATGCGCGATACCAGTACCTACAAGAACATCTCTCGGTGGTTATTCACCTTGAGGACGTCACTCAGACGCACCATTTGGGGCGACCGCCTGTTCCTACAGTTCCGGGGCCCGACAACGCTTCTCATGTCCAGCAGAGGTGTCAGAGTTGCAGATGCTCTCACCAACAAGGAGGTCAACGAGATCGCTGACGCGCCGGCTGGCGTAGTTCCAGAGGCGGTTGAATTGACGACCAAGCCCAAGGTTGAGGCAAAGCCCGCATCGGTCGAGCAGCCACCCTCAGCCATCCATGTCGCCAGTGTATCGCGTGATGGAAAGGTTAGCTTCGAGGATGCGAAGGATCTCAAAGAATTTGTGCGATAGAGGCGGAACCAAAATCGGAATCAAATGTTGGCACCCCTGTGCCGCGAAGCAGAATTGCCATGGCAATTGGACCAGACAGCCACGAGGCTGACAAATGTAACTTTACTGTGTAATAGACAACAGGTTGCAATGCTACATGTGAAGCGACCTGCAAATTAAGTCCGGTTCGTGCAAGCCATTTTCGCCGTGCCGTGCTTCAGTATCGGCCGGATCTTTGTCACTCGTATGCTCGTGTCTTGTCCGTATGAATAGTTACCATCTCGGAGATATGAGTTCATTCGTCGTCCGATCCCTGGATATCTTGCTAGGATGAGCTTGGTGAATGACAACTTCGGATAGAAGGTTACAAAACCACGTGGTTTTGCGCCGTTGATGTAATCCGGCTTAGTGGTAAACAGCCACGGAGGCTGACATTATTGACAAGCCTGGCGTTCTAAATGACACTTCGATTTCCGACCGAGCGCCGAGCACACCCTTCCGAGACATTGGAACCGTGGTGATTGGTCAAATGGCCAAAGGTGAACAGCTGCTGCATCCCTCATTCCAATCCAGAGTCTCGGGCCTCGCGTTTTCATCTCAACACCGAGCCAACAAGTCTCTTCCGGGCCCCCCACCCCGGATCACGGCTCCGGGCTGGGGTACGAGGCGAGATCTTGCAGCCAAGGCGGGTTCAGTTGAAGAAGATGAATTCGAAGACGCCAAGAATTTGGGTCAAGAACATTGAACCTCTCAAGAAACACAAGGAGAATGAGACCTGCTACTGTTCTAGTTTCCGAAATTAATTACTCTACTATCCCAAGAGCGATGGAAGAAGCTGCCCCATCAACTGAACTGAGGGTTATTGAGTTGTAAAGGGGATGAAGCCTCACCGACACTCCAAACGCTAAGCGAAGATCAGCAACCAAATTCTTCTCACTCACGTAAAAGTTGAAACCGCACTGGTTGATCGATCTGAGAGGGGGTAAAAACAACTGACCTAGCGGCCGACATCCGTTTCCGTGAATCACAAGCGCACGTTCCCGCCGCGAGACTCACAAATGGCACTGCGACAGGGGACAAGCTCATGAAGCTAGGAGATAGCTACCCAAGACCACTCGTCACCACAACAGCTGGCCATACCTTAGTTGAGCCGCTTGGAAAGCAGACGGTCCAACCCTTTCCCAATCTCTGCCTAACGGCTTAGGTTTTCACATTTCTCCAGTGGACAAAGGGCCCTTCGGCCGGTAAGTCGCTTGTTATATCCGGCCCGCTAAGCTAAGGGTCGCCTACCCCTCCTCAGGATCTTGGTATCCAGAATTGCGGTGATCCAGAAGGGCATGGCGTTTAGAACCGAACATGGGTTTGTCTGGAGTCCTCTGCATTCTCCGAGTCTAACCCCCCAAACAATCTTGTTTCCCTTGAGCTTGAAGAGCGAGAACCGCGCGAGAGGAGCTTATGCCAATGTTTGTTGACTCCATGTTAACTTGCGATTAATAATTGACCGTCACTTGAGCCGCGCCATGGAACTCGTCGTGGAGTGTGGGAATACTTTCTCAATTCGGATATAGGCAAGGCCCCAAAGAATAAGAACAAGACAAACTGCTGCTACTGCTCGTGCTGGTACTACCTTGGGCTACTTGATATAGTCCCATATTTAGCCGAGCAAGAAGCAAGCAATCTCCTCGAGCTATTGTTCACCGACGATACGAAACGACGCACCAGTTCGCCCCACAAGCATTGCTCGCACCCAAGGGGCCCAGGGGAGTTTCTTTTCTCATCTCATCCAGGGACTTTTCGCCAATAAGATCTGCATCCACAGGGTGAAAAGGGCGCTCACAATCGAGGCTTCACTCGAAGCCACTTGAGGAAAAAGTATCAAGAAGGGAAGCAATACACAGCGATACGAAGCGGCAGCCGGTCGTACCACCAAAGTTCGCTGAGTAAAACAGTCGCAACAACACCAGCCCAACCCAAAACTCCACAACCATGCCGCGCTCTCAACACGCCCTCTCAACATCGTCCAACTCATCAACTGTCATGGACAGGTCCACCGCGCCCGCAGATCCAGAAAAGGCGGATCACATCCCCTACGAGTCCTCCTCTTCCGCCCGCCAATCCCTAGATCGCATCCCCTCCCAGCAGCGCGACACCGAGGCCAACATCTACCCGGAACCCGCCAACGTCGTCGAGGCCGATCTCGAAAAGGGCGCCTTGGCGCGCACGACAACGCAAGATGCCAAGACCGATGCCCCGGCCGATGGTGATGGCCCGGCACCGCCCGCTGCCGGCCCGCCGCCGGGGATGAACCCGGCTGACTTTCCTGATGGCGGCGCCCAGGCTTGGCTTGTCGTCTTTGGAGGGTGGTGCGCGTTGTTCTGCACGTTTGGCTTGATCAACTGCGTCGGCGTCTTCCAGGCGTATTATGTGTCTGGTCCCCTGAGCGCGTACCCTTCTTCGACTGTCGCCTGGATCACCAGTCTGCAGGTCTGGGCAATGACCTTTATGGGCGTCATTGTGAGTTTCCCTGAAGTGCCTCTTCGCTTTTCCTGCCTCGATAGCTGACAAGTTGCTCCAGTTCGGCCGTTTGTACGACACCTTCGGCCCCAAGTACCTCCTCTACTGCGGCACCGTCGTATATGTCTTCGGTCTGATGATGACCTCGCTGTCGACGCAGTATTACCAATTCATCCTCGCCCAAAGTCTCGTCTCGTCCATCGGCTCAAGCGCGTGCTTCAATGCCTGCATGTCGTCCGTGACCTCGTGGTTTTTCAGGAGGCGCGCAGCCGCGTTCGGCATTATGGTCTCTGGCTCCTCGCTCGGCGGCGTCATCCTGCCCATCATGATGTCCAAGATGATTCCCCAGGTCGGCTTCCCCTGGGCCATCCGGGCCGTGGCATTCTTGTTTCTGTTCTTGCTCGGTATCGCGTGTCTGACAGTCAAGTCGCGGCTACCGCCTCGCCCGCGACCGTTCGTTTTCAAAGAGTACGTCGATGGTCTGCGTGAGCCGCCCATGGCCGTCACGGTCTGCGCATTGTTCCTGTTCTTCCTCGGCATGTTTTTGCCTTTCAACTTTGTTATTCTCCAGGCGCGTGCGCAAGGCATGGATGAGAACCTTGTCATCTACCTTTTGCCCATCATGAACGCCGTCAGGTAAGACCACCTTTGCTCCCCTGGACCCCCAGCAGCCTGTACGATGATGGCTAACAAAGGCGCAGTATCCTCGGTCGCATCATTCCCGGCATCGTCGCCGACAAAGTCGGTCGGTACAACGTAATGATCTGTATCACTTTCATTAGCGCAGTCTTCTGTCTCGGCCTCTGGATCCCAGGCAAGAGCAACGCCGCCATCATCGTCTTCCTCATCATCTTTGGCTTCTCCTCCGGCGGCTTCATCTCACTAGGCCCAGCATGCATTGCTCAAATCTCCGACATTAGACAAATCGGCGTTCGCACCGGAACCGCGTTCGCCGTTCAGTCCTTTGGCGCGTTGGCTGGCAGCCCTATCGCCGGCGCCATTGTTGCGTCGCAAGGAGGCACCAACTATCTTGGGCTTCAACTGTTCTGCGGCTTCTCGATGCTGGCGGCGGTCGGTGTTTTCATCGCGGCGAGGACTGTGCAGGTTGGATTCACCCTGAAGAAGGTCGTTTGATGGAAATTGAGCTGGCTGTGAAGCGAAACCTTAATACTGGGCATGCTGCATGTCAGCAGGAGGATGAGAGTTTACCGGCCAATATGCCCGCGTCCCCGATCTCCGCTCCGCTCTTATCGCCGGCTCCGTTCCGGCGCCGTCTTTATGCCGTGCCCGATCCTACATCACGGGCTGTGTCTTCTTTCTCCTGCGTCAGGCTTGAAATGCGAGGAAAGTTATAGACTATGGCAAAAAGAACGATGAATGAGAAGCTATATAGAATATTAGTTGATGGTGTAATAGACAATATCGGTCCCTCAAATACCTTTAGTTTTAAGTTTCTACGTACGTATCCCATGCTCGGTCACAGTTTTAAACAAAGGCCATCGTGCGGTAACGAAGGAGGCCATGGCATTGAACATCTAGCGATTGCGTGTGATGTGGCTTCGACGAGTTTACATGTAATTATGTAGACGGAGTTCCCCTTACTGCAGCTCGGCGACTCTCCGGAGCTCCGCAAGACCGCCAAGACAGTGGCTTACAAGGTCTTCGTTGGACTTGAACCAGGCAAGCATCCTCCAAATTACAAAAGTCCAATTGTTTGAGATCAGTAGAGGTTGTTTGATCTCTCGCCTTGTGTTTGCAGCTCCACCACCGCGGTCTTTAGCTGCCCTCCAGAACTTCTTGTGCAGGCGTGGTCTTGATCTCTGGGGAATCGTCCTCGAGCTTACGACGGGAGCCATCTCGAGGTGAGCGTGGCCTCGCGCAATCTGACCCGACGAGAATGATGAAGCTCTGTGACATCCTCTTCGGGTACAATCTAAGCCAGTCCTTGCAGGATGACGATTCTGTCCTCTAGACGGTCTCGGGATCCTCAGTCGGGTCCTCAGCGACAGAGAACTTGGTGCCTTCAGAGAATTAGCGCAAGTTTATGACATACGAAGAAAATGGGAATCACCTTTGATGTCTTCTGCAAGATGGACAAGATCGTTGAACATGAGCTTGTCGCTAGTGGTGTAGCCCTTCGAACGCCACCTGGTCCTCTGAAGATAGGCGGCAATCACGCGAGCAATGCCATTGGAGTGGGTAAAGAGGTCCGGGTCATCCTCTAAATCAGGGATAGACGCAACGTTTTTCGCGATGATGGTAAAGAACGCAATCTTGTCAAGTCATGGTGCAATCCCCTACCTTAAATTGGTGAAGATGCAAGGTAAGGGGAAGAGGTCGAAACGCCATATTCGGGTAGGTAAGGGACGCCGAAGTGGCTTGGTATGAACCTCCTGGTCGTCTTGGATCTCTCAGCAGCTGCGACAAGATTCAACTCCGACTGGCTTTCCCTAGTGATGTTGTCGACTGTTGAGACTACCGTGTCGACGTTGTACTTCTCAAGGACGGCCGTGAGAGAATCAACATCAGAGTAGTCCACAGCCACAAAACGAACATTCGGAGCTGCGCCTCCGGGCCTCCCTGAAACCTGAGTGAACATGACTGTCAGTGCCGAGCCTTGTTGCGAAACCGCATGGAGTATTCCCTGGATGATAAAGTACCTTTCTCGTTAGGACGATAACCTCATGAGTCTTTTGGGCTGAGATAGCTTCAACGAGAGCACGGCCGGGGCCGCTGATACCGCCAGCAATCGCCACAGCCATGATTGTCTTATCGTTCGTTATATTAAGCACACAAAATCTTTCCTCAGCAATGGTGAAAGGGCCCAGACATTCCAGTCTCTCGACATTGTTGGAACATTTCATCCTATATAAGATGTCTGTGGGTCAATGACGGCGTATGTACATATATCAAGAGCCCTGCCTACGCCAAGAGCAAAGACTCATCTCGCTCTTCGGACAACGCCAAGGTGCCCATCACATGACAGCATCGCGGCTAACAGCGTCATGAGCCGGAGATTAAGGACAAGATTTCGGAATCGCAACGGGCTGAACAGGCAATGACCAACTAGCTTAGAAATGCAATTCGGCAGTTCCCGTTAACATGATCTGCCCTGACTTTAGCGGTGGGATGTGCAGCTGTCGCGGACACGGGATCTCGAAGGTTTCGGGGCTCTCGGGGACCGAGGACTGTTTTCGCCCGCCCCTCCCGGCGGAGATAGATCGTTTGCTTTTACGCGATCCCGGTTGTGAGTCCTCTTGACTCAAAAGCTTGGTTCTCTTGTCTTCTTTGGGAAGCTTATTTCATGCGTCGCAAAAGTGTACAATTAGCCAGGTCTTTGTTAGTGGTTTTTCCCCCCATGGACCGGATCTTAACATTGAAACTCGCACATGCTGTTTGGCCAATCCGTCTCTGCGTATGCTTCGTTCTTATGTAAATCTAGAGAAAGTCATCTGCCTTGGTGGGAAGCATGTCAGGTCTTATGGATGCTTAACTCTATGCCTCTATCGTTGATCTCACTTCCAGCCGCACGCCTCAAGCCGGAACAACAATTATTGGTGAAACTAGCTAGAAAAAGCCCATGACCTGCTCCCCACCGAACATCATCTCCATTTCTTGATTAGACTGCACATGTTCAGACGCCAAATGATAATTATCACTTAAAGCGATAGCCGGATAAAATTGACTTAGCCCCAGCGTTGAAAGAGAGGGGACAGACGCCCAATCTTGCTCGCTGCTTGTCTCGATGTGCTTTTCTGCAATCATACAGAGCTGTCGAGTGATGTCATACAAGTCCTTTGCAGAGGGTGATAGATGGGCTCCCTGCTCAAGGCTATCTGCAAAGCTCTTGAGTCGCTGAGCGTCGCTCGTGTCTTGAGTCTCAACTATGTGGCAGAACACTACCAGGAGTGGAACGAAAGGGGTTTGAAGGAGTCGCCTGGAGGCATGATAGCACCTGTCAGTTCCGCAACGGACGTTATCTTTAGGACGGCATTGGAAGTGGTTCCAGGCTTACCAGTGGAGATAAAGATTCACAATGTGTAAGTCGCCGCTCATTAGGGGGACGCATTCAAAATGGGCGTCAAACGTCGCGCGTGCATACGACAAGCAGTCCGGAGAGAAAGACGGCACAGAAGCTCGAGAAGTCTTTGCCCTGCATATCAGAGTTGCTGTTGTATGGTACATGACTTTGGCGGATATGGCAAGAACATCCTCTAGCTTCGTCATTGGTTCGACGCTATTAGACGATGCAATCGTTGGGTTGACCTGATTATAAGTTAGCACCATGATGCTCATACTTCGCATCAAGCTCTCCGGCCGCACATACCAAACTGACAGGCTCTATTGACTTAAGATCAGAAAGCAAGCCATTTGCTCGATCACATAAGTCTTCTTGAGAAACAAGTTGCGCACTTCGACTATACAGCAAGTCGTAAACTTTGCCATGGATGGAGGCATTCGCGACCCAAAACGGCACTACTTTGTCCCATAGCCTTGGCAGACAGACCGAATGCAGTCCCTTGGGTATGATAATGTCACATTCTCCAATCATTGAGGCTCTACCCAGGCGCAAGGCCAGAGTCTTTTCCAGTCCGTAGACATGCCAGAACAGCAAAGCTTTGGTGTTCCTCGTGCTCTTGTCATCAGATGCAATCAAGGTTTCGTCATGAAAGCCTGCAGCCATGCAAAGCTGCCCTGCGAAGCATATCAACCTCCATGCCAGCCAAGGTTTGGCCATCTCGATAGCGTGCGTTGTCTGGTTTGTTAGAATGGAACAAGATCAACAGAGCATGGCTTGACATACGCCGAGAATTAATGCCTGCACGTTTTTCGCTTTGGCAGACAAGCCGGCATCTATCGTTGCCACAGCGACCGTGAGAGCGTTCCTGCACATTGCTCCCCAGGTGAGAGACTGTTTCCGAAGCTCAGGGTGCCCGAGGCTGGGAGGACAAAAGTATTCTGTGAGAAGATAATGAAGACCCGAGTTAACTATGATGAAGTCAATGGCAGTGTAGTCGTCGATGGAGAAGTAAACGTTCCGGCATAGGTCAATAAACTCCGAACATGGGAGAAAACACCTCAAAACAAAGAAACTGCTGGGAGGGTTGTCTATAGAATCTTAGTAACAGGTAGAGGACAATGGATTCGATCTAAAACACAAGCCAAAGCGTACCTTTCAGTTGTCTCAGCACACCAATGACTGCAGATGTTGGTGGCAGAGGCATACTTCGATATGTTACAGGTCTTTGGGCCAAGTGCCTTTGGGATGCCCCTGCTGGATTCTGAGGTCCTACAACTCGATGTGCACTGGCGACGGCATTAACGTAGCATGAGGCACCTAGCTCAATGGCCGCACTCTCTGTAAGTCTTCTCGTTGCTGCCATCTGGAACCTCAGTGAGGAGGGGCCTTCAACCGGCGGAGCCTCATCTGCCGCATCAAATTCTGTGACAACATGAACGTGAGATGCATCTTTCACCGAGATCGGTACCTCTGACAGGGCCTTATCAGGTGTCAACCCTGAGCATGAGCATTGTGTTGACGCCGAGGTTTGTTGTTTCAGGAGCAAGGACTCAATGTTTGCGAGGCGTTTGTCCAAAAGATCTATCTTCTCCTCGCTGCGAACCTATTAGCCTGACATGAAATGCGAAGGGAAGGATAGGCTTGATCAGGCAACATACTACTGCAAGGATACATGAACCCTTTGGCGAGGAACCTTAGGCTTCTGACCAGCGCCTGTGAATGTGCAATCCTGCGAAGACTGACGACAGTTGAAGCAAGGTACGCTTTTGTCACATCGAACCTATTAGAGTGCTCGTCAATGACGTGTTGACCACACACATAGAGACACTGATGCAGAAGCTTGTGCCCCTGACATGATGCTGCGTCTCATCTTGCTCTCAGTGCAACGCTTCCACTTACTTTGCGCAAACGACATAAGTCGCACTAGACACCTTCCGGTCAGATGTGGACTCAGCAGGGCCACAGTATTTGCTTACCGCAGTTGCCCTTGAGTCCATGCCAGCTATTCGGGCTCGGATGAAGCCAAGCTCAGTCGGGTTGTTGGAGTGAGAGTCGTAGAATCCCGTCTCGGGCTCCTCGGTCACCATCGCCTGGGCTCAATGACAACCCGCCGGTAGTGGCGTTGTGTCGGCCTCCGAGGGGGCCGAGCAGGGATGTGTACACAAATGTCCATCTCCGTCTGTGGGCCAGATCTGGGATCTGAAAGAGCAAGGGGTGCGGAGCAGTCCGCCCGGCTCTCGGCCCCAACTCGGCGCCGGCTCCGGGCCATGGATATCAATCACCGGCACTAGTCATCGATGTAATTCTGTCTGCTAGTCAATTGCCTTCAGGATTGCTCATCGGGTGGTATTATCGATCGTACAATACAGGCTGATCATCTTGGCTAGCTGCCTTATTCTTTTGAGATTGTAGCAACACTTCGTGAGAGAAAATTTAGTCTAGCCCATTATTTAACAACAAGGTTCGGTCTGAAGAAGAACTTTTATCAAGGTATCATCAGGAAGCTCTTTTCGAAGTTTTGACTCCTTTCAAGCGACCCGACCTTACAAGGAGCCTAGTGTAGTGTGTTTCATCGATTTGCTAAGTAGAACCGGCACCGTGTTACAATTCCCGAGCCACGACGAACCTCTGCCCTGAAAATCAAGGATTCCCTGCGATGATTGGTGTGATATACACTTTAAGGCATGGCATTGGCTGAGAGGAGAGTACTAAGATGTTTGGAGCGGGTGACTCGTCACCTACTGTCTCTGAGTGCTAGGTGCAGATACCAGAGGTGTTCTAGACAACGCCAATCAAAGGTTCCCCCGTCTCGTCAAAAAGTCAGCTGGACCGACATCAGGTCTTCAAATTAGCAATCAAGGCAAAAAATTGAGTCAAGATCATGGGTTTATCAGGCTCAAGGAAGTTCAAGAACGACACTCGTGCCCTAGGAATGCTTATTTATTGACGGAAAGTGTCGAAGGGAATAAATGAAACGAATTGTAGTTAGACACGGCAATTATGATGCTAATGCTATCAATTCACCCCAATAACAATCGCCAGAACATTCCGAGAGGACGCATATTTAAAGCCGTGAGGTTGAGTCATCCTGCATGGCGCTAAATGCTGACTTCAGCTGGTCAAAGACTCGCGCCAGCGGCCAAAGTCAGCTGGGGCAGCTGGGGTAAGATGGGTATTGATGGGAATACACGTAATGGGACTGGTCTGTCTGAAGCTCCCATCATCAACAACACGTTGCCTGAAGAATTCTATCCTGACATCGGCGACACTTCATTAACACGCTCTTATGGCTTCACAAACGAGTCCCGGGGACCTCACCAATCATCTGAAGGCGATCTACGCTTCTTATAGACATACCGCGGATATCGATGCGAAGGGGATCTTTCTTTCTCCATCTTGCTACCAAATATGTCGCCCAAACCCCTCGTTTGCTGCACACGATCGTGAGACAATCGTGCGCTACTTGCACGAGTACGCACCAAAAGACAAGCACGGGGCCTTGGAGCAAAGTGAGAAACCTGCTAAGAAGGGCTTTTACACGATACGACCACTCAAAAATGACGAGTTTGAGTTCGGCACCGACGAGCAGACTGCTCCTGCCGGCTTCTCTTCAGCGGCGGAAGTCGAACAAAAGGCCAGGAGTGAGGGGTGGGTGGGATTGAGGGTCGATCTTTGGGACAATTCGCCAGGTCATGATGCAGATAAGAAAGAAGACCTTTTGGTCAAGGTGCAATACTGGTGGAGGAGAGAGGAAGGCAATTGGATGCAAATCTTTCACGACATTATGTACATGGGTCCACGCGATGGGAGTGAAGGAGTTAATGCGGAGGTCCTGGAGTGAAATCCAGGTCTGTTGCACTTGCGAGGCGAGGATGTATGACAGGTGACTGAGACGAAGGGTCACTTGCGGGATGTCTCGGATTCTCGACCTACGCCAGTAAATGATAAATGGGAGCGACTGAGGAGGAGAATTCTGCTCGGCATTGGTGTTAAGTAACTTACGAGGTAGTGTACCAGGTGTCTCATTGTGAGCAGTCCAATTGCTTATGAAGTGTATCACAAGTTGGCTGCCTCCTCCAGTGCTCTCATCTGCTCGGTTGATATTTCCATGCCTGTTTTCCGTTGTATAGTACTTGACCAAGATGGTCTCAGATTGAAACTTGGCAGGACTTCTAGGTGCACTCACGACCATCTGAATCCTCTCTGAGCGGTATTTGATCTAGTTCCATCCAGAATGCCCCAAGATGAGTGTTGATTATTTTTGACTGGACCACAACTTGACACACCTTGGCAGGATACATCATGGGCGTTCGAGCTTCCCTGGCCCTAGCGATCGGCGCATTGGCTCTGACCTGCAGGTCACAGAATTCGATTCCCGAGGACCAAGATCCGTGTCTAGATCCCAAGGTTCTTGCCTCGAAATGGGTTGACGATAACATGATCCGGCCGAACTACATTCCGGCAACGACGGAGGAAAAGCCTAGTCAGTAATACCCGATGCATTCTTTCCGCATAATAAACCCCAAGAGTGGTATTAGAGCCCAATATGTAGTCGACTAACAAGGTCGCATCCAGTTGTTGCTCAGAGAATCTTCGATCAGCCCCAGACTTCAGAGACTGGCAAGTCATATGTGACTAGTCTGGAGCAGACCAGCGTGCTCTACATGACAGGAGTCATCGTAGACTTACTACAGGCGAATGTTCTGAAGACTGGAGCACCTGGGGACTTGCCACGGTCCCTTGGAACAGGCTATAACAGTGCCATTCTTGCCGTAAGACCAGAAGCATCACCAGACCTTGCGTGATATTACCAGATGACTGACTTGAAGCAGGGCGAAGGATCAACACTACAGTTCTCCGGACGCATCGAAACCCATAATGGCGCAATAAACCTGTACGCAACTGGGGCTGGGACGACAGTCACCCTGGACGCACCCCAACTGTACAGCAGCGGCTCGGGAGCCATTGGCCTTTTTGCCATCCGGGGTGCCAATCTGGATGTTACCGATCTCCGCCATTGTTCGGGTGGCTACCGATCACCTACCCTCGCGGGTCTCAATTTCAACAGTCGTGGGGGCATCGCCCATACTACCAACCCGGGGTCGCCATTGATCTACTCACTAGGGCGAACCATGTCATCCAATCTGACCGGTTGGGCCGATGCCTCCCCTGCCATAATCATGGAGGGGCCTCAGTATGTACACCTCAACGCTTCAACCATCACTTCGGGAACCATCAGTGGTTTCCTGTTCTTCGATTGGTCCATCACGGCACAACATGATATTGGAACGTTGGAGGCGACATCCCTCAATCTTACGGTTCGCGAGGGCCCGGCCTTTTACCTCGCAACCTTTTCCGCCGAGATCATCCTAATGAATGCAAGGATAGACAATCCTTCAGGAATTCTGCTTCTGGCGGATACGAACACAGCATCCCGGGACCTTGAGAGGGTCGAGCCACAGCTTTGGAGCGGCAGTCCAATCTCGTCCAACTCTTCTCTGACGCTGATGGACTCGGAAGGCATTTCCGGAGATATTGTCACCCGAGGTGGCTGTACCGTCACAGTCCATCTCCTAGCGAACAGCACGTGGCAGGGCTCCGCCAATGCATCTCTCATCAACAATCGTGGGGGTTTGACAGTGCAGATTGACGAGACGAGCAACTGGATTGTAGCAAAGAACTCATTCGTCCGAGGTCTCTCAGTCGTTGGTGGAGATCTTGGGCGCCTCAAGGACCAGGGGTTCACAGTTGCGTATGATCAGAAAGCCCCAGAGAGCTCTTGGCTTCAAGGTCGGACCTACACTTTGCAGAACGGAGGAAAACTTCAGCCGTGGAATTGAGTAGGTAGTAGCTCGTCGGTTGTTCTTGATTACAGATACAGAATGTTGTGCGAATGAACGAGTCATAGTGAAGAGATTGGAAGTCGGTGTTTGTTCATCCGTCTGACATTTTGCATTTGAAATCGAATAATGGCAAACAACACAACGTAACATGTCGGATCCGAGCAGCGTTTCGCCCAATTGAAGGAATTTTTAAGCTTTACGTACTCCTTGTCGACCCAATCCACCGTTCAAAGGCCGTGTTCCACAGGATCCATCTCGGCTAACCAGCCTAGTGGTTGTGAAGATCGAGGTTGATCCTGACTCGAGGGACTTTTGGCAATGGCGCAATTGCTGTTATGTACGGGATTGGTGAAGAGACTTCTCTGCAACATAATTGTGTTTATTTTGCCACGAGGATCTCGGGAACTTCTGCTGCTTACTATGGCACAATATGTGAACACGTTCTCGCCCGAGTCGCTCCTATGAGATGACAGAGCCGACTCGCAGTAGGGTGGCACTTTTGCCGCAATACGATGCAGTGCGCCGGCGATCCTGCGGGGCATTTCGAAAAGCCCCGTTGGGTTACATTCCTAGAACCGAGAGCCACCTTCAGAAGCCGCACATCCGCTTGGGCTCGTGCCATCGCGCGACGCAGGCAATATAAAGATGAAAAACGCCGATGACACCATCGCAACGGCTCCGCCAACTAACTGTAACGGTCGACTGACCTCCCACATTCGGGAGTTGTCTAGAGTCAGTAACGGCGAGTGGGCAAAGCAGTTGAGCCATGGGCGGTTCTTGATATAAGTTGCAACGCCCAGCTGTCGGAGGGTTGCGCTCGGAAGAAGAAGGTCCCTGATCCCCCCCAGGCTTGGCCAACTTGGCTCCCGTGTGGCGTTCTCTTCCAAGCATCTTGGCGATCAGCCGCCCAGAACGACCTCCACCATGTCTCCATCCCCCAACCAACAACAACAGGCTGCCGCTGAGCCAAAGGCTGGCGGTCTTCACGATGGCGATGCCATTTCCGTCGATTCTCCCAGCAATGGCACGCCCGAGAAGAGGTCCAGCGAGCCTGCTGCTCCCTACACCGAGGGCGACATGGAAAAGCCGCCTTTTGTGTTCACAACCAAGGCCAATGGCGAAGAAGAGGCATTTGACGAAGATGACCCGAGACTGAAGGACATCCCGGCCTACGTGCGTCGCATCGTTTCGCTGCACGACGACCCGGATTTGCCCTGCCTTACGTTCCGATACTTCCTCCTTACCATCATTTTCGTCATTCCCGGCGCCTTCTTGTCGATGATGAGCCATTTTCGCACGACGTATGCGCCCTACTCTATCTTCTTCGTCCAGATCGCCTCGAGTTACTGCGGCGCATGGCTTGCCAAGATCTTGCCGGCATGGGAGGTCAAGGTCCCCTTCACCAAATTCAGCTTCAACCTCAACCCGGGCCCGTTCAATGTGAAGGAGCATGTCTTGATCACCATTTCCGCAGCATCGGGCGCTACATACAACTTGGGATACACCCCCGTTGCGATGGCTGAGCTTTACTTCAACTCAAAGATTCACCCAGCAGCGGCGATTTTCTTCATGTGGGGTATTGTGTGGACTGGCTACTCGTTTGCCGCGCTGGCTAGACAGTTCCTCATCTACGATCCTCAGTTCCCGTGGTTCACGGCGCTTTGCCAGACCGCCCTGTTCGAGACGCAGAAGAAACAGCGCGAGGCTCCGACGGCTTCGTCTCGCAAGCAAACGAGAGTCTTCTTCTGGGCTCTTCTCGGCATGACCATGTGGCAGTTCCTGCCCGAGTACATCTTCCCTATGCTCGGATCTCTGGCCTTCCTCTGCTGGGTGGCACCTAACAACGCAGTAGCCAACTTTGTCGGCTCCGGATTCGGAGGAATGGGCTTCCTGAACCTTTCGCTGGACTGGTCCAACATTTCGACCAATGGATCTCTCTTCTTGACTCCATGGTGGACTCAGGTCGTCATGTTCTGTGGTTTCGCGTGCAGTTGCTGGATCTTGATCCCGGCGGCCAAGTACGGTCACCTCGGCGAGTGGCATGGGCACTTAATGTCCAACAGACTCTTCCTCGAGAACGGCACGTCGTACCCGATCACGAAGCTGCTCACTGCGGATGTTTCGTTCAACGAGACGGCGTACGCAGAGTACGGCCCCCCATTCGTCAGCACCCAGGTTCTGTGGACCATGTTCTTGTACGAATCCTCCTCCCCAAAACCTTTTTGGAAATTTTGATGTTCTGACTATTCTTCTCTAGTGACTACGCTGCTTACACGTCTGCGATTGCTTGGGCTGCCCTCTTCGGCTACAAGACCATCAAGAGCAGTCTCTCGAAGATGATGGATCGCATGAGGAACGGTTCGCAAATCAGCACGCAGTACAACGACCAGCTCAGCATCCTGCAGCGAAGCTACCAGGAAGTACCCTTGTCATGGTTTGCCGCGCTGTTTGCTGCATCGGCCATTGCTCTCATCACCATCACGGCCACCGGAAACATGTTCATCCCCGTGTGGACATACTTCGTTGCCATCGGAACTGGCGCAATTCTCGTCGTCCCGCTTGGATGGCTGTATGCGCTTAGCAACTTCCAGTTGGCCATTGGTACAGTCAACGAGCTGCTTTACGGATTGATGGTGAACTCTGTCAGCGGTTTCAAGAACCCGACTGGTGCTTCGGCGTACGGTGCCATCGCCGGAAACGCTTGGTACCGCGCGCAGCTCAACCTTCAGGACATGAAGGTTGGCCATTACATGCATCTGAGTCCAAAGGCAGTGTTCTTCTCTCAAGTCTTTGGCTCGTTCTTGGGCGTGCCCATCAACTATGCCGTTGTTCGCTGGGTTTTGGACACCAAATTCGACTACCTCACGGGAGCAAAGGAAGACCCGGCGCATCAGTGGACTGCTCAGTCTCTCACCTCCAACCTCACAATGGGCGTGCAATACGTCCTCATCGGTCCCCGAAGGCTCTTCCAGCAGCACATCTACAAGGTCCTCCCGTACGGCTTCCTCGTCGGCGCCTTCACTCCGCTTCTCATCTACGCCCTTCATCGCGCCTTTCCCCGCGCCAAGTTCCAGTTGTGGAACTCGACCATCTTCTTCTCGGCCATGGCTAGCTTCTACGGTAACATCAGCACCGGATACGTCAGCAGCTTGATCGGTGGTTTCGTGGTCATGTTCTGGGCGTACCGCTATCGGTACGACATGTGGGCCAGATGGAACTATATCCTGGCTGCTGCTTTCGACGCAGGATTCAACTTCAACATGCTGCTTACTTTCCTCTTCTTTGGTGCTGGAAAGATCGTCACCATGCCGAATTGGTGGGGTAACGATGCAGCCAGTTCCGAGCGTTGCTTTGCTCTCGATTGAGCTTGCTCGAAGGCGTGAAGGGCTTCTTGTTGAATTGGAATGGATTGTTGGTGAATGACCAACATAAGAGTTTGGTTAGTCAAGCATATTTAACTAAATGAGATGAATATTTGAATCGTACAAAACTTGCTCACTAGCAGTCAAAGTGATTTCAAGGTGCTCAATGATTCACAAATACGCCAGGACTAAACGAGGGAGCCAAGAAATTTCTCCAGGAAACCTTCTCAAACAGCCTCATCCCCCCACCTCAGTGAGCAATCCAACAACTCGACTGCCCATCTCTTTCTCTCTGATTGATTGCTCGCACGAGCTGGTGATTTGGTAACGAGTTAATGTGCGCTGATTTAGGCATCTGATCCATCTCGTTGCGACCATAGAGGCTGTGGCTTGCAGAACTTCCCTCTCATGACCGTATCGGAGATGACTAGATGCTACGCTTGACTTGCATCCTTGCTTCCATCTCAGATACTTCCACGAGGTTGTAATCTGCTCACTTGAACACCTATAATTCTGAGAAGAGCGCTCTTCCTCGCTTTGACTTGAGAGGAGGCACGACTCGTCCATCCAGAAACACAAAGTCGATTTCTTCCACCCGTGCCGAGACCTCACGATGGACATGCCCAGCAGTCCGTCCCATTCTCACGGCACCGAGCCCATGCCGATTGTCTTTCACACCAAGATGGCCACTGCGCTGTTTTCTGATTCGTGGACACCGCGAACGCCAGGGCAATACGCCGGTACCTGCCTCACCCTCATCGTCTTTACCATCATTCTACGTATTTTAATCGCCTTCAAGCCCATGTTAGAAGCGACAGTCTGGGCAGGCGAACATGAAAAGAGCCACTTGAGAATTGACGAGGAAGTCGCGCGGAAAGAGAAGTCATCTTTTGCTACACCAAGGTCGATTCCTCTAAGAATTACGCATGGTATCTACGAGGTTATCATTGCCCTTTTAGGGTATTTATTGTGAGTGCCAGCCAATCATTGAAGATGTATGGGACAGTCTTAACAATGTCTACAGGATGCTAGCGGTAATGTCGATGAACTTGGGATATTTCTTGTCTGTTCTTCTTGGTGTTTTCGTGGGAACGCTCTGCTTGGGCGGCATTGCGCGCAGCACAACACTTGATCATTGTTCTTAAGAGTATGAAGCTAAGAATCACTTTTTGAAGGGGTCTTCTTCAGGTTGTCAGTCTTGTAACAGTCTGGCTATTTTAGCGCAGTAAATTTAGCCATAGCATGCGAGAGGATCGCTGGCTCAAGAATTCTTAGCCACGTGTACTAGGGGCTCTGAGCAGTCGTCCGCGTTGTTGTGCATCTGACGATCGTGGCCGTGACATCAGTCAGAGTCGTGGACCAACTATCACCAACAACGCGCCCATCTCGACTACCACGTCGGACAGAGATCAAGCCGGATCTAACCGCAAGCGCTCTAGTTGGATACACCCCTGTCGTGCCTGTTCAGCATGCCCCGCCAATCCTTCTCAAGTCTCGGCCCCTCCAATGCTCCAATGCTGTCCCAAGTCAAGTCGCATTCGCAAAATGCCAGTCGTGCGAGATGTTGTGCAGAAGCTGCGACGAGCTTGCAAATGCACGGAGTAAAGAAGCCGAGCGACTTCCTGAACAGGCTTGCGGGCCATCTTCAAGCCGCGTGCTCGTCCACCACGCGACGTGGGCCGCATTCGAAGATGCCGTCACGGCGGGTTGCCACCTGTGTACCTCCATACACGAGGAACTGGCGGCAGAGAGTCTACTACCTGACAGCCAACCCGATACAGCGCGGGTGTATGTGCAGGTCCACGCGGCAACAACCATGCCGAGTGGCTACCTCGTTTTCTCGCCATCCGAGTAGAAAGCCTACTCTCAACATACTCAAGTCGATATAAAAGCCACTGACCGTTCATATCCCTAGTAAAGTCTGTCGAAGCGGCGCTAGCTTTTACATGTTGAAGAACCAAGGTCAGAGTCCATCTGAGCAGAGACGTTGGAGCCTTGAATGAGTCAGTAACACCGATCAGGCGATGAACACGCGGAGTCTGTAAGTCTGGCGGAAGACGATATAGCTCCGGAGATTAGGGCTCTCGCCACGACGAAAACGTGGCTTGAGGATTGCCAGTTGAACCATGCAGACTACTGCGGGAAGGATACGGGCGGCTTTGTTCCGACAAGACTACTTGATCTTGGGTTCAGAGACACCGACGAGGTGCGACTGTCAACATCTGTGCCCGTCTATGAGAAATACGCGACTCTTAGCCATTGCTGGGGCAAGTCCCAGATCTTGACGTTGAGAAGAGCCAACTTGGAAATCTTTCGAGCTGGTATACAAGTAGGAGCCCTACCCAAGACCTTCCGAGATACCATTTCCATCCTGAGGAGACTTGGACTGCGCTATCTCTGGATCGATTCTCTATGTAAGTTGCGATTAGTTAGTATGGTCGACAACCCGAGCGAGTTGGCTGACGGCCAAGCATAGGCATCATCCAAGATTCAGTTGACGACTGGCGAAAGGAGTCCATCACCATGGCTGAGGTCTATCGCAACGGTGTCATCAACATTGCCGCCACGGCTGCCTCGGGCGGAAATGAGGGGCTGTACTTTGCACCTCACCCAATTCACTCCAGGCATCTTCGCATATCCTTCACTCAGTCCATCGACGGCACACCCTCGGAGGAACCGACCAGCGGAGAAAGACCGCATGTGGTAGAGCCTGGAGAATACTTTCTTCTAAATAGCAAAATCTGGCAGCATGGCGTCGAAGAGGCCCCTCTAAACACGCGCGGCTGGGTTTTGCAAGAACGGCTCTTCTCACCACGTGTTGTTCACTTTTCACGACATCAGCTATTTTGGCAGTGCGGCATGGACTACCGGATAGGACAATTTGCGTACTCGAATGATCGCATAGGATCCTTTGGCAAGGCCTACACCAACCGAGATCTGCGCGCATTTTCTCAAGTACTATGGCGTCTAAAAGGCATGGCGAAAGAGGATAAGGATCCGTTTATTCTCGAAGAGGCGTACCTTCCTTGGGAAGAAGTCGTGACGACGTACACGGCGCAGCACTTGACTAAAGGCGAGGACAAGCTCATTGCAGTACAAGCTTTGGCGAAAGCCATGGAGGAGGCGGTGGACGATTGCTATGTCGCGGGATTGTGGGAGAGTCGGTTGGTTGAGGACCTGCTGTGGGCTTGTTCAGCACCGGGCGATAGAGCGAGATACTCGCGTCAGACGACGTGGCGCGCGCCTACGTGGAGTTGGGCCTCAATTGATGGCGGGTCGGTCAAGAAGGAGACTCTTACTGGGAGATATGCAGGGCGGAAAGTGTTTGAAGGAGAAGCTCTGGTCAAGAGTATCAAGCACTACGTGGAGGGGTATGACGGGGTCACGACCGGGCAACTCAGAGGTGCCCGTCTGCAGCTCGAAGGTTGCCTTTTGAAGATTGCCACATCTAGGGGAGGAGAGGCCATGATAAGTGATAGTCACGTCAAGGGCATCAGTATGAGATGCCCCGATCCTAGAGTTCGGACCTTTATTGTTTGCCCAGACGAGTGGAGTTGGGATGGGACTGGCAAACCCAACTATCAACTGCCAGCGGGCAACATCTTGCTTCCGATAGGGACCCATCCCGCCTACAAGACTGATGGAACAGACCCGAGGCCGTGCATTGAAGGCTTAGTATTGCAAGATGCTGGTCAGAAAGGAAGCCTATCCTTCTGTCGCGTAGGCTACTTCAAGCTGGTTGCGGAAGCAACACTCATCAATGCTTGTTTGGAAGGGGAAGGGGGAGCATTGTTTGCGAGGTATGAGAGTGCGTCTGGCGATGGAACATGTACTTTGAACTTGTTCTGATTCGGGGACTGTGCCGCGTGGCTTATTGAAAGTATGTACAGGAAAGAAATGCGACCATGAATTGGTCACAAGAAGACACGCCGGTCTTCGAAAAATACCACTCCGATGATGAGGCTGACCAGCCTCTAACAACTCAATGATGAACACAAGTAACCTAGGCCGTAGCCTGACGCCAAACACCGCCCAATGCTACCCTTGAGTCAGACAAGCAGGCGTCGGAACATCAGTTCCAATACCCGCCCTGGGGGGGGGGGGGGGGGGAAGACAAAGAAGAAGACACCAGACCTAGAAGACTAAGCATAGTGTGCGAGGGGAGCATCCCTCTTGCCCATGCGGCGCATCATACCGCGAAGGGGACCGACGTTGGCGTCGACGAGCGTGTTGACCCAGACCTTATCCTTGGTCTCCTCGCTCTGGCACTCAACGCTGGCGGCACCAAGAAGAAGAGGTTTCATGTTGCCGTAGATGGTCTCGTACTGTCCGGCGTTGGTGACGAAGCTCTCATGGTAGATGCCAATGTGGTTGTACTGCTGCTTGATACCATTGTACCAGTCCCAGCCCTTGCGGTGAACGGGGTCATGGGCGAACTTGTTGAGGCCCTCGACGTCGCGAAAGTAGTAGATGTTGAGCAGGGAGTTGTTGCGCGGGCCGTCGGCGCCGAGCCAGTTGGAGACGTGGTAGAGGCCGTACTCGGAGGCGCGCTGAGCGAGGTCCTTGTTCATCTCTCTGAAGTATTGACCAATTTCGCGACCGCCGGGGCAGAGGAGGCCCATGGGGTGGTTGAAGCGGACACCGAGGTGGAAGACGACGAGGGACTGGGAGGCGGCAATGGCTGGGATGGCGCCGGTGGAGGGATCGGGGAACTGAGCGCTGGTGCGACCGCGGACGACGCCCTTCATGAAGGGGTTGGTCTTCTCGGAGCGAGTATCGAGGATGGTCGAGATGATGGAGCTGAGACCCATGGCCAAAGCCGGAATGACAGCGTACTTGGCAGGAAAGATGGAGAAGAGGGCGCACTGCATCAATGCGCCGATTGAGAAGAGGGTCGAGAGGTTGAAGCCATCCTTGATAAGCAGCTGAAAATAAAAGTCATTATTATTTGCTTTGGTGTGATGTAACACTCGGGTGTGATAATTAAGAACTCACAGGAAGATGGTTGTACGGCTTGGTCCACTGGGGAGACTCGGCCGGCTTGAATATGCCGTGGAACCGCTCAGCGGTCTGGTACTCGGTAGCGGCGTCCATTGTGAGCATGAATATTTCGAGCGGTGAGGTATGTATTCAAAGGTGGTTCGTGAATACAGGTGCGATGGGAGAAAGAATTGAGGAATGAGTGTGAATATCCGTGAGAATCGAGGAAGAGTTTGAAGATGAGGTGTAACGGTCAATGGTGACGATGAGGTTAAAGCTGTTGTGAAACTGTGTGATTCGAACAAGGTTGAAGGGTTGAAGGAGGGGAAGAAGAAGGCGGCCCCTTGCTTTAATATATCGTCAAAGAAAAGGGAAGCTGGAAAAAGGACGTTTGTTAGCGTCTTCTGACTCCTTCTAATTCAGCCGTTGGCAAGCCCAAGTTAAACACACCTAAAGTCACAGGTGGGTGAGTGAGTGAGTGAATCACTTGGACCCTTGACAGAATATTGAGGTTTGGTGGGGAAGGAGGAATTGAAAGCTTCAGGCCCGAGTCCCGGCTACGTGGATCACCTGGATTTAGAGTGGAAAAAAGAAGCGAAAGCGCAGCGGCGCTAGATGATTAGATCGGGACAGCAGGCGAGATGGGCACGCGTGTTTGGCGATGGCGGTCGATGAAGGGCCCCAGGTCGTAGACTAACATACGAGAATGGGTTAGCCTGGGATTCATGAGCGGAGCATCTTGAGTCCTTTTACATGGGGTTACTCGTACCTGCAAGAGACACACTCACTAACTCACTCACTCACTCACCTACTACCAGTACTGCTACTGAGAACGATACTAGTACTCCGTACGTAGTGTACGAATGAAGCCACACGAAACGGAAGCTAAAGTACGCCAAGCGAAGAGGAGGGACAACCTTGTCACCGACGAGCCGGGACAATTGACGGCTTTGGAGGGCAGTTTGGGAGGGTCTGACAACCTTAGTGCGAGATGACGAATGCCGCTCTTCGCACTCGCTAACACGGACAAACTCCAGGCCCAACGGTGGTTTAGCGGACGACCGCCGACGTGGACCAGGGACACGGCCGAGTGGGATGATGGAATGGGATTTCGCCATGACGGCGAATTTCACATGAGCCACATGCGTCAACGCAAAACGCTCCCGGCCCATTGCCAAAGCAAGACCCCAAACGCCGCCACCACCTGTTCACACTGACGCTGATGCGGATGCGGTTCGCGCTAGGGGTCTTGGTGGTCTTGTCAGATTCGCGTGAGTTTTAGGCGTATTTACGAACGGCCGTCTTGTCTTGGGTCGCTGTCCTGCACGTGGCTGCGTCGCGTATCCTTGCTGTATTATCAGAAGTTTCCCATTGTCTTGATGCAGGTTGCTGTTAACATGACTATCTGCATGTCAAACCGCCAAATAGCAATTCGAAGACACAGCATGATTTTATCACACAACATCGGAGCACCTGCCAATCTCATCTTCTCTGCAAAGTCATATTGAAGCAATCAAATTCAGGTGTAAAGATCTAGAGATGGACTAGAAAGACTGCAATGATGTTAGATAAGACAGGTCACCTGAGCAAGGTACTTTACGTACGTTTAAAGACACATTTTCCGAGAAGTGAAGTAATCTTCCCGGTGTTTCCTATTTTTAAACCGAGATAGACGTAACTCTCGTAGTATACCTAATGCACCTTACCGTATTTATCGATGCATTGTATTGTATTAGTCCAATACATCTAGGAATAAAGCCTTTCCTCACAATGCAGGTACGCAGCATCCGCACCTGCCATTAAGAGAATATCATAGTCGGCATATAAAGCACTTAGTAATTCTCATATAAGGTAGTAGATGTTACAATTAGTCTTGACCATGACCATTTTGTTCCATAGATCACAGCCGATTTCTATTCAGCGGAATTATTCCGTCGTTACAACTGATGAAGCCACGATGCTTGGTATTTGATGATACCCGTGATGCTGCGATTCTCGGGCCCTCAACTCACAGCCTCGTTCATGTAGGTTCCCGTGCCGAGGAACTCTACCTTAATCCATTGAAAACTATGGCCAATCATCAAGTTCTCGAGGGTACCAAAAGCCATCACTCACTGCTGAGATCCCGGAAATTCAGGTTCGCCTAGCAAGCCAAAGCGTGATTGTTCCGCTAGGGCAACTCTGTGCGACACGAAGCGGGATGTTACTTGAATGCCTGGGTCAGCTTCCGTAGAAAGGCCTTTCGAGTGCTACGTCGCCTTCCCTGTCTTACCTCTCCCGGGGGCATGTGATCTCTTGGTCCGATTTTCGGACATTTTGATCTAAGTTACATGATGCTGGCAGAAAAGAATACACCTTGACCTGAGTCGTTTGGTGCATAAAGATTTCACTTTAGCGAACTAAGAGTCGATAGCAATACAATTTGATGGGGAACAAGAAAAAAATGCACAAACGAGCGTCATATTTCTACAGATTCGTTCCATCAAAAATCCCACAAGCATCAAATCCAAAATTGTAGCCACAGCCCCCAACCGGCGGCTGGTTCTCGGTGTGGCACAGGGTATCATGAAGCCCCCCAACTGACAGACTCCAGGACGCCGCGCTTCCGAGTAGCTAATTGTACAGAAAATCAAAAACGGGAGGGTAAGAAGGGAAAATGGGGTGAGCAGTCCCATCCGCCCCGTCACATTCCCAGCACTAAGACCACGGATTACTCCACTCAAGCCGATTCATCATCGCCTTTGGTAGCATTGGCGATCTTGATCTGCTCCACGTCCTCTACCTGGCCCTCAAGGACCTGCATGGCTCGCTTCTCCCGGTTGTGCAAGACCATGATGCCCATCACCAAGCCGGCCTGGAGAATGTTGTTGGCCATGACCCAGAACCAACCGAACTTGAATCTAGGTGCTATTCTTCTATCAGCGGTGGTCCTATCAATGGCCCAATTGGGAAAGAGTTTCTTACCTAGAGGTGTAGGGAATGTCACAATGTTCAAGCCTGCGAGAAGAGCCTGGCCGACTGCGTTCATGGAAGCGACGACGACGGCACGTTCTTCGGCAGATCGGAACGTGACCTCGGAAGCCCAAGACATGAAGAGCGGGTTGAGTGCACCGCCAAGTCCGGCGACATAAAAGGCAAAGAACTTGAGTCCCTCTGGAATATTCCACACGGCCATGCAGATCGAACCGACCGTCATCCAACCGCAGATCCAGATGGAAGGCAGCCAGCGCTTGCCCGTCGCATCAGCCCAGTAGCACCCAACCAATGCTGCCACAATGGAAATTGCAGACTGCCCGGTGGGGAGATTGTTAATCTGACTGATGGAGTAACGGTCGTTGTTTGCCTTGAGGTACAGATTGAAAGGCTGTCCGTTGGTGATCATGGCCTGGTTGAAAACAAAGTACAAGCCGACAAAGGCGTACCAGTGCCAGCCCTTGAAGACGTCGGTGATGGCCTTGCGGTCGAACTTGACCTTGGGGGCCTCAGATCCGCCCTCGGAGACGCGGCGGCGAGCAAGGGCGATCTGGTCAGACGTGAGGAGCCACGAGGGGTTTTTGGAATCGGGTCGAGCGGGGAAGACAACAGCGCCGAGGATAGCTACGGGAAGGGTGATGCAGCCGCAGACGATGAAGAGCCAGCGCCATCCTTCGAGGCCATTGACGCCGTTGAGATTGGTGTAGCAGGCGGTCTGGAAGTAGCCAGCAAACATCTAATCACATCGAGTTAGTCTTGCAGCTTTGAAAGTATTGAGTAAAGAGAACACCCACAGTTCCTAAAGGACCCGCAACGTAGAACAAACTCAACCGACGTGAAATCTCGGTGCTCTTGTACCAACATCCGATGCAGTAGATGACGCCAGGATAAGCCACACACTCGAACACACCACTGAAGAACCGGATGATGTAGACATGCTTGATATCCTTGACGAAAGCCGTGAGAAGAGTCAGAATGCCCCAGAGGATCTCGAAAGCCGGGATGAGGATGTTGGGGCTGCGTAGGTGTTCGTGTTAGTCTTTGTCCTCAACTCCAAACATTCGAATCCTGAAGTGTGTTATTGGGCCTGTAAGACTTACCGAACACGAGTGAGAATGATGTTGGACGGAATCATGGCAGCGCAATATCCTGCTTGGAAAACACCAGTAGTGTATTGCAAGTCATTGCCTTGCATGCCAACATCCTCCTTCATACCACTGACGTAGGCATTCTGGAAGGCTTGGAGGTCGAGGAACTACTCGGTACAAGTCAGTCAACATTCCACGGCCATTTCAAAGTCACATCTTCAACTCACCTTTGTGAAGAAAGTAAGGCAACCAAAGGTCAGGATCATGAAATCCTAGCATATGTTAGAGGCTGTATGGTCGTTCTGGCACTAAGGCCAAAAAACCAAAACCTACAAGCTTGCGCAACAACACCTTCTCTTCCTTAGAGGTATTGCGCTCGTACCAGCGCCACTTGTCCAACCAGCTCGCATTGGTAACGGGCTTCTCACGGACGCTTGTAGCCACGGTGTCGCCGGCCATGGTGTAGTTCGTCGGTCTCCGAAGCTATTCGTACGAAAGAAGCTCAGGCTGGATAATACGTAAACCGTACAACCAACCAAAATTGGTCACTGAAAATGCTGTGCAGCTTCGTCGAGGTGGAGCTGACCAACAGACTGGAGTCAGAGGGCAACGGGGAATTGACGAGAGGCGGAGCAGATGAGTAGGGGGCTGCTGCGGTCGGAACAAGCAGAGGCGGACGAGGAGTAGTGGCGTGATCGCGTATTATACTCGATGCACCGTCTATCTTCTCTCCTCATGTTCCTCACGAAGGGCACGTCTCGGCTATTCACAACCGGATTTGGGAGTTGTTGGTTGACGTTGAGAGGCGTGGCGCCCTTCAATGCCCCCCCGGACGTAGGTACGTGGTGTTGCAACGCGCGCCAGAGATAGGCATCACCGGACAACCCAAGCGAGTCGTGAAAGTACACCCAAACGAGTTGACAGGGCATGCTCCACCTTCGTCCACACAAGGGGCATGGTTGCAGAGAGACTAGAGAAACTGATTACTATGTCAAGTAATCAAGCTGGGAGATAAGGAGGGGGGATAAGCGTTGGCGTGTTGCAAGGATCAGA